GTCTGTGTGTATGTGTGTGTGCATATATGTGTCTGTGAACACGATTACTTGAGTACCGTTACAGCTAGGTTGATGAATTTCATATATAAGTACAATATCAAATTTGTAGTTCTGTTTCAACTTTTTAGCGATTTCCGGTAACCGGAAGTGGGACTTATTCTACTTTCAATTTTTCAAAAGCCTATAACTTTAGCACTGTTTCAGATAGATAAATGAAATTTCACATGTAAGTAAAAGATCTAATTCTCCGCCTTTCAAATTTTGAGTAATTTCCAGTTACCGGAAGTAGTAATTTACGCTATTTCCGATTTCTCAAAAAAACTAATATGAATTTATAAAGTACTAATATTGTTTGTCATTCACGTAGTGGGCAATTCTTTTTTCTACGAGATTCTATTCTATTTTAAAAAGTTTAAGTAATTAAAAATGGATTAAAATCATGCCTAAATCCCGAATTGCCATCCCCCGTAGTGTTATATAAGGATATTCGAGAAAGTTTAGGGGTGATCATTCCTGCTTTTTTTCCTACCAAAAACTGCATTTTTCTGTGCTCAGCTTTGTTTTTTCTACATCTGTTGTGTTCATTTTTAACTCGTCACACGGTCATATTCAACTTGTCAGACTGTCATATTGAACTTGTCAGACTGTCATACTGAACTTGTCAGACTGTCATACTGAACTTGTCAGACTGTCATACTGAACTTGTCAGACTGTCATATTGAACTTGTCAGATTATCATATTGAACTCGTCAGACTGTCGTACTGAACTTGTCAGACTGTCATATTGAACTTGTCAGACTGTCATATTGAACTTGTCAGACTGTCATACTGAACTTGTCAGACTGTCATATTGAACTTGTCAGACTGTCATATTGAACTTGTCAGACTGTCATACTGAACTCGTCAGACTGTCATATTGAACTTGTCAGACTGTCATATTGAACTCGTCAGACTGTCATATTGAACTTGTCAGACTGTCATATGAACTTGTCAGACTGTCATATTGAACTTGTCAGACTGTCATATTGAACTTGTCAGACTGTCATATGAACTTGTCAGACTGTCATATTGAACTTGTTAGACTGTCATATTGAACTTGTCAGACTGTCATACTGAACTCGTCAGACTGTCATATTGAACTTGTCAGACTGTCATATTGAACTCGTCAGACTGTCATATTGAACTTGTCAGACTGTCATATGAACTTGTCAGACTGTCATATTGAACTTGTCAGACTGTCATATTGAACTCGTCAGACTGTCATATTGAACTTGTCAGACTGTCATATTGAACTTGTCAGACTGTCATATTGAACTTGTCACACGGTCATATTGAACTCGTCAGAAAGTCATACTGAACTTGTCAGACTACTCCCTACCTCTCTCCTCTCCTCTACTCCCTACCTCTTTACTACTACCTGCCTCTCTCCTCTCCTCTCCACTACTTCCTACCTCTCTCCTCTCCTCTCCACTACTACCTGCCTCTCTCCTCTCCTCTCCACTACTTCCTGCCTCTCTCCTCTCCTCTACTCCCTACCTCTCTCCTCTCCTATACTCCCTACCTCTCCACTACTCCCTACCTCTCTCCTCTCCACTACTCCCTACCTCTCTCCTCTCCTCTACTCCCTACCTCCCTACCTCTCCACTACTCCCTACCTCTCTCCTCTCCACTACTCCCTACCTCTCTCCTCTCCTCTACTCCCTACCTCTCCACTACTCCCTACCTCTCTCCTCTCCTCTACTCCCTACCTCTCTTCTACTCCCTACCTCTCTCCTCTCCTCTACTCCCTATCTCTCTCCTCTCCACTACTCCCTACCTCTCCACTACTTCCTGCCTCTCTCCTCTCCTCTACTCCCTACCTCTCTTCTACTCCCTACCTCTCTCCTCTCCACTACTTCCTGCCTCTCTCCTCTCCACTACTCCCTACCTCTCTCCTCTCCACTACTTCCTGCCTCTCTCCTCTCCACTACTCCCTACCTCTCTTCTACTCCCTACCTCTCTCCTCTCCTCTACTCCCTACCTCTCTCCTCTCCACTACTCCCTACCTCTCCACTACTTCCTGCCTCTCTCCTCTCCACTACTTCCTGCCTCTCTCCTCTCCACTACTCCCTACCTCTCTCCTCTCCACTACTTCCTGCCTCTCTCCTCTCCACTACTCCCTACCTCTCTTCTACTCCCTACCTCTCTCCTCTCCTCTACTCCCTATCTCTCTCCTCTCCACTACTCCCTACCTCTCCACTACTTCCTGCCTCTCTCCTCTCCACTACTTCCTGCCTCTCTCCTCTCCACTACTCCCTACCTCTCTCCTCTCCACTACTTCCTGCCTCTCTCCTCTCCACTACTCCCTACCTCTCTTCTACTCCCTACCTCTCTCCTCTCCTCTACTCCCTACCTCTCTCCTCTCCTCTACTCCCTACCTCTCTCCTCTCCTCTACTCCCTACCTCTCTCCACTACTCCCTACCTCTCTCCTCTCCTCTACTCCCTACCTCTCCTCTACTCCCTACCTCTCTCCTCTCCACTACTCCCTACCTCTCTCCTCTCCACTACTTCCTGCCTCTCTAATCTCCACTACTCCCTGCCTCTCTCCTCTCCACTACTCCCTACCTCTCTCCTCTCCTCTACTCCCTACCTCTCCACTACTTCCTGCCTCTCTCCTCTCCACTACTCCCTACCTCTCTCCTCTCCTCTACTCCCTACCTCTCCACTACTTCCTGCCTCTCTCCTCTACTCCCTACCTCTCCACTACTCCCTACCTCTCTCCTCTCCACTACTCCCTACCTCTCTCCACTCCTCTACTCCCTACCTCTCTCCACTACTCCCTACCTCTCTCCTCTCCACTACTCCCTACCTCTCTCCACTACTTCCTACCTCTCTCCACTCCTCTACTCCCTACCTCTCTCCTCTCCACTACTCCCTACCTCTCTCCACTACTCCCTACCTCTCTCCTCTCCACTACTCCCTGCTTGTCTGTCTCTTCTACTTCTAATCGTTCCCCACTTAACTCGCAAACGCCCTCAGCTTAAAATCGATGCTCATTTAGATGATGACGTGACTGTATTTATCCTGTTGGAGATAGCACATTACCACAAATATAGCTATTCACAGATCCCAGGACTCGCTAGCTATTCTCAGATTCTCAGACTCATAAGCCCGCTATGCATATATTTTTGACAGACTTTCATCCCAACCCCGACCTTTGACCTCCTGGAAAAGCTCATTGCTTCTGGGTGCCTTCATGGATTCATCCAGAGGTTCTCAGTCTATTACCTCATTTGACACATTAACACTCTCACACTAACACCCTCACACTAAAACCATCACTCTAATACCCTCACACTAACACCCTAATCCTAACCTTCACACTATCACCCTCACACTAACACCTGCACTGGCCTCTGTGAAAAACCTATCTGTAAAAGACAATGATATGTGTGTTTAATAATCATCATATACCCGGCATTGCCCACCCTAACCACAACCAACCAAAACCAAAACACACACACACACACAAAACGCAAACATAACACAAACGCAAACACAAATAGAAATCCAACTGCAGACACAAAGAAAACACAAAGGCAAACAAAAAAGCAAACGAAAACAAACCAAATCCAAAAGCAAACACAGACCCAACCACAAACGCAAACCAAACACAAAGAAAACACAAACGCAAACATAAACGCAAAGTCCTCACAGTCTAGCCCAGGGCTCCAAATCGCACCAGCTTAGGAAACGACTATAGTACCCCTAAGTAAGCGACTATAGTACCCCAACTTATTCATAGTCTTTCGCACTCACTTAAACGAACCTAGGCTCCATAGCGAACACGGGAAGGCCCGGGCGCCAAATAGCTTCTTGTCGGGGTGCCGGAAAACGCCCGGAATTGATTCACTTCAAGACTAAATTAGCCTTTCTTATCCACAGTCTATCGTATTGTTTAAAACAAAATTATGCACCATAGCGTTCACAGGATAGCCCAGGCGCCATATCGAACCCTGCCAGGGCGCCGGCGGACGTGCCTGTTTTAATTTAATGAACAATTATAATACCCCAAGCTTAACCGCAAACGGAAAGAAGTAAACATAGAGGACATTTAGGAGCTGGATTCTTAACCGTATTTGATATTTTTTTTAATAATCAGTAAACAGTACGTTCAGTGTATGAAATAAATAAAAGGCAGTATTTAAAATACCTACCACATTCTAGAACCATAAAAGTAAACATCAATACTTGCCATGCATTATACTTGCACGGTACTCAACTATTATTAATTATGGAGTAAGGTTTATTTAAATAACTTTTTTTTATCGTTGGAACAGTTTTTACTCTTTCGCATAATGTTAAGAAAATATTAAATACACGCAAATTGCTAAAACATATTAAACGGATCAATGTCAAATAATATTATCGCTTATATTCCGAGAAAAATTGGATACATTTTAATAACAGGTCTGATGCCCCCAGTGTCTGATGCCCCCAGTGTCTGATGCCCCCAGTGTCTGCCCTGATAAATTGGACCCATACGCAACAATGTTTGTATAACATTGTCAAGTGGGACCATATTATAGCGCAGCAATGTTTGTATAACATTGTTAAGTGGGACCATATTATAGCGCAGCAATGTTTGTATGTCATTGTTGAGTTTTGAACTGGTCTAGTCCAACCATACTAGTCGTATTCCCGAGGCACCCCCGGGGTCCTACGTCTGGTGTCTCGGGGGTGAGATAGGGGTCGAGCACAGGCCAGCAATTAGTCTGGACCCGACGGACACACACGTCACGTGCTGGTGGTGCTGTCCAGTCAGCACCAAAGGTTACCTGGGTGGGGACAACAAAAGCTGCCAGCGACACCTGGAACTACGTCGCCTGCCGTTACCTCGTTATTCTCTGTCGTAATGGAACAAAACTTTTACACTTCAGTCTTCACTGTGCCGACCTTGACCTATCACCTTCCTCGGCTTAAATTCTAACATTGACCTCTGACCTTCTGTTGTCCACAGGTTCACCTTTGTCGTCCTGTGTTTGACCTTGGGCGTTCTCTCCTCCATCTCAGAACTCGAAGGTCTTCTCATTAAGTCCACTGTCTACCTGGTAAGTAGACCAACTGACCCCACCTCTACCTGGTAAGTTTATACCGACCCCACTGTCTACCTGGTAAGTTTATACCGACCCCACCTCTACCTGGTAAGTTCTTACCAACTGACCCCACCTCTACCTGGTAAGTTTATACCGACCCCACCTCTACCTGGTAAGTTTATACCGACCCCACCTCTACCTGGTAAGTTCTTACCAACTGACCCCACCTCTACCTGGTAAGTTTATACCGACCCCACCTCTACCTGGTAAGTTTATACTGACCCCACCTCTACCTGGTAAGTTCTTACCAACTGACCCCACTGTCTACCTGGTAAGTTTATACCGACCCCACCTCTAGCTAGTAAGTTTATACTGACTGACCCCACCTCTACCTGGTAAGTTTATACCGACCCCACCTCTACCTGGTAAGTTTATACCGACCCCCACCTCTACCTGGTAAGTAGACCAACTGACCCCACCTCTACCTGGTAAGTTTAGACCAACTGGCCCCACCTCTACCTGGTAAGTTCTTACCAACTGGCCCCACCTCTACCTGGTAAGTTTATACCGACCCCACCTCTACCTGGTAAGTTCTTACCAACTGACCCCACCTCTACCTGGTAAGTTCTTACCAACTGACCCCACCTCTACCTGGTAAGTTTATACCGACCCCACCTCTACCTGGTAAGTTTATACCGACCCCACCTCTACCTGGTAAGTTTATACTGACTGACCCCACCTCTACCTGGTAAGTTCTTACCAACTGGCCCCACCTCTACCTGGTAAGTTCTTACCAACTGGCCCCACCTCTACCTGGTAAGTTCTTACCAACTGGCCCCACCTCTAGCTGGTAAGTTCTTACCAACTGACCCCACCTCTAGCTAGTAAGTTTATACTGACTGACCCCACCTCTACCTGGTAAGTTTATACCGACCCCACCTCTACCTGGTAAGTTTATACCGACCCCACCTCTACCTGGTAAGTTTATACTGACTGACCCCACCTCTACCTGGTAAGTTTATACCGACCCCACCTCTACCTGGTAAGTTCTTACCAACTGACCCCACCTCTACCTGGTAAGTTTATACCGACCCCACCTCTACCTGGTAAGTTTATACCGACCCCACCTCTACCTGGTAAGTTTATACCGACCCCACCTCTAGCTGGTAAGTTTATACCGACCCCACCTCTACCTGGTAAGTTCTTACCAACTGACCCCACCTCTACCTGGTAAGTTTATACTGACTGACCCCACCTCTACCTGGTAAGTTTATACCGACCCCACCTCTACCTGGTAAGTTTATACTGACCCCACCTCTACCTGGTAAGTTCTTACCAACTGACCCCACCTCTACCTGGTAAGTTTATACCGACCCCACCTCTACCTGGTAAGTTCTTACCAACTGACCCCACCTCTACCTGGTAAGTTCTTACCAACTGACCCCACCTCTACCTGGTAAGTTTATACCGACCCCACCTCTACCTGGTAAGTTTATACTGACCCCACCTCTACCTGGTAAGTTCTTACCAACTGACCCCACCTCTACCTGGTAAGTTTATACCGACCCCACCTCTACCTGGTAAGTTTATACCGACCCCACCTCTACCTGGTAAGTTTATACTGACCCCACCTCTACCTGGTAAGTTTATACTGACCCCACCTCTACCTGGTAAGTTCTTACCAACTGGCCCCACCTCTACCTGGTAAGTTTATACCGACCCCACCTCTACCTGGTAAGTTTATACCGACCCCACCTCTACCTGGTAAGTTCTTACCAACTGACCCCACCTCTACCTGGTAAGTTTATACTGACCCCACCTCTACCTGGTAAGTTTATACTGACCCCACCTCTACCTGGTAAGTTCTTACCAACTGACCCCACCTCTACCTGGTAAGTTTATACCGACCCCACCTCTACCTGGTAAGTTTATACTGACCCCACCTCTACCTGGTAAGTTCTTACCAACTGACCCCACCTCTACCTGGTAAGTTCTTACCAACTGACCCCACCTCTACCTGGTAAGTTCTTACCAACTGACCCCACCTCTACCTGGTAAGTTCTTACCAACTGACCCCACCTCTAGCTAGTAAGTTTATACCGACCCCACCTCTACCTGGTAAGTTCTTACCAACTGACCCCACCTCTACCTGGTAAGTTCTTACCAACTGACCCCACCTCTACCTGGTAAGTTCTTACCAACTGACCCCACCTCTACCTGGTAAGTTCTTACCAACTGACCCCACCTCTACCTGGTAAGTTCTTACCAACTGACCCCACCTCTACCTGGTAAGTTCTTACCAACTGACCCCACCTCTACCTGGTAAGTTCTTACCAACTGACCCCACCTCTAGCTAGTAAGTTTATACCAACCCCACCTCTACCTGGTAAGTTTATACCAACTGACCCAACAGACCCACACACCCCACACAAATTTGTCTAAATATAGAAAAAAGAATTGCCAGCGGAGAAAAAGATTTGATGACGTCATTCTTTCTCCAGGAAGTTGTTATGAAAAAGATTTAATGACGTCATTCTTTCTCCAGGAAGTTGTTATGAAAAAGATTTAATGTCGTCAATCTTTCTCCAGGAAGTTGTTATGAAAAAGATTTAATGACGTCATTCTTTCTCCAGGAAGTTGTTATGAAAAAGATTTAATGACGTCATTCTTTCTCCAGGAAGTTGTTATGAAAAAGATTTAATGACGTCATTCTTTCTCCAGGAAGTTGTTATGAAAAAGATTTAATGACGTCAATCTTTCTCCAGGAAGTTGTTATGAAAAAGATTTAATGTCGTCAATCTTTCTCCAGGAAGTTGTTATGAAAAAGATTTAATGTCTTTCTCCAGGAAGTTGTTATGAAAAAGATTTAATGTCTTTCTCCAGGAAGTTGTTATGAAAAAGATTTAATGTCTTTCTCCAGGAAGTTGTTATGAAAAAGATTTGATGACGTCATTTTTTCTCTAGGAAGTTGTTATGAAAAAGATTTAATGTCTTTATCCAGGAAGTTGTTATGAAAAAGATTGAATGTCTCTCCCCAGGAAGTTGTTATGAAAAAGATTTGATGTCTCTCCCCAGGAAGTTGTTATGAAAAAGATTTGATGTCTTTCCCCAGGAAGTTGTTATGAAAAAGATTTGATGTCTCTCCCCAGGAAGTTGTTATGAAAAAGATTTGATGTCTCTCCCCAGGAAGTTGTTATGAAAAAGATTTGATGTCTCTCCCCAGGAAGTTGTTATGAAAAAGATTTGATGTCTCTCCCCAGGAAGTTGTTATGAAAAAGATTTGATGTCTCTCCCCAGGAAGTTGTTATGAAAAAGATTTGATGTCTTTCCCCAGGAAGTTGTTATGAAAAAGATTTGATGTCTTTCCCCAGGAAGTTGTTATGACAAAGATTTAATGACGTCAATCTTTCTCCAGGAAGTTGTTATGAAAAAGATTTAATGACGTCAATCTTTCTCCAGGAAGTTGTTATGAAAAAGATTTAATGACGTCAATCTTTCTCCAGGAAGTTGTTATGAAAAAGATTTGATGTCTCTCCCCAGGAAGTTGTTATGAAAAAGATTTGATGTCTTTCCCCAGGAAGTTGTTATGAAAAAGATTTGATGTCTTTCTCCAGGAAGTTGTTATGAAAAAGATTTAATGACGTCAATCTTTCTCCAGGAAGTTGTTATGAAAAAGATTTAATGTCTTTCTCCAGGAAGTTGTTATGACAAAGATTTAATGACGTCAATCTTTCTCCAGGAAGTTGTTATGAAAAAGATTTAATGACGTCATTCTCTCCCCAGGAAGTTGTTATGCTGCTTTGGATAGCCCTCGAGCTAGGCCTCAGGGTCTGGTCGGCCGGCTGTAGGTCACGTTATCAGGGATGGTCGGGCCGGTTCCGGTTCCTTCGCCGGCTCCTCTGCATCATAGGTAAGTGATGGAAATATTATACATGATATGAGACATCAAACCACAAACTCATTTCTGGTTTGAAATAATCGATTTTAAAATATGTCCTGTATGCCTTCGAAAATTATGAATAGTGTACCTTCATATCTGGCAAGAATATGAAACAAAGAAACTTTATATGTGTAATGGTTTCCCGTGTTCGTTTATTCTTATGTTGTTTTATTTTTTATATTTTTTTTTGCATTTTTATTATTAATTTTGAATTAATTCATTTTTCTAACACATTGGTTCTTTATGATGCTTTATTTTAATAATAATTAAGAGAAGAAATTGTGTTTTAATATGCTTAATCACTGCCACAGTCCATTTGTTGTTTGTTTTTGTTTTTATGAACGCTAGAGCGAGAAGTAAATCAATATTAAAATTAGATAATCGTCTGAAATGGTCGAAGTTCAAAGATTAAATACAATAATTATCTCATTATATTAACAGAGGCGTTGCTAGGGGAGAGAGGGTGGGGCGGTCGCCATCGGTGCCGACTCAAAGGGGCGCCAAACATGATAGAGAATAATATAAAAATCTCATTACTGAATGATATACATAGTAAATGAAGAGTATAGACTCCTACTTGGCATTACGGACTTCTTTAATTGTTTTCTACATCAGTTGGGTGACACCAAAATAAAAAGGCCATATATATATATATATATATATATATATATATATATATATATATATATATATATATATATATATATATATATATATATATATATATATATATATAAAAGACTAAATATATAAGTACATATAATATAAGAATAAAGATGTATAAATAAGACTAAATGTCTGCATTATGTTCCGTGTGCTCTTTAAAGAAATTTTAACAGCATTTATATATGTGTTCAGCCAATCAACTCACTCCAAAAACGCCCCTATTTAAATAGTCTAATAAAGTCCCCCTACACCCACCAACTAGTCCCCCTACATACACCCCTAAACTACTCCCCCTACATACACCCCTAAACTACTCCCCCTACATACACCCCTAAACTACTCCCCCTACATACACCCCTAAACTACTCCCCCCTACACCCCTAAACAACTACCCCCCCCCCTAACATACACCCCTTAAAAAAACCCACACCCAACTAAAAACTTCATCTCCGTGATGCCATTGACATTTGGCATTCACTTCCTGTTATGACCTTTGGCCCAGCCCTGATTTACATCTGCCGGCTGTGTGCCGGCACTGTGCCGGCTCAGTGACTGGAGCCTTGAGGCTGGATGGTTGTGTGGATAAATCCATACCACGGCTAGCTGTGGATCAAGCACCTTAGCGCCCTCTCACGGGGAGAGAATCCACGTCTTTAGAAGAAATGAAATTGCCAAGAAGGTGATGTGACGCGTATTTACTGTCTAAAAATAGACGTGTCCCAGTAAATGTATTTCAATTGACACGGGGTCAGAGGTCAACGAACAAACACAAACCATGCCGCTGATCGAAGGGCTGTAGTTAGGGTTTCGGCAAGTTTGACTTGAGTCGCTGGTTATAAGAGACCGAGCTTCACAACTCACCCACGCTCCGACTAAATAGCCAGAATACACTGTCAACACCCGCGGTCCGACTAAATAGACAGAAAAAAGCTTTCAACAACCGCGGTCCTTCTAAATAACCAGAACACACTGTCAACGGTCCGTCTAAATAGCCAGAACACAAACAAACAGGAAGATGGCAGACGCTGTGATGAACAGTGTATTTTTATCACGAGCAAAGACGGGCAAACCATTTCACAAATTCTACAAGACACCATCCGTCCAAATCCATAGGCCTAAAGAGAAAATGTCTTCATCAATTTATCATTTTCTGCTTTTAACATTTCACCATGGGACGTTCAGGTCGAATGGGCAATGAAGCGACACACATATACCACCTTAAAAAACATCAGACACACCATCAACCACACCATCAGACACACCACACACACCATCACCCACACCATGACACACACCATCCACTATACCATAAGACACACCATCACACACACCATCACACACACCATCACACACACCATCACACACACCATCACCCACACACAACGATAAACACACCATCAACCACACCATCAACCTCACCATCAACCACACCATCAACCACACCATCAGACACACCATTAACCACACCATCAACCACACTCTCAACCACACCATCAACCAAGCCTTCAACCACACACACCGTTAAACACACCATCAACCACACCATCAACCACAAACTACGTTAAACACACCATTAACCACACACACCGTTAAACACACCATCAGCCACACACAACTTTAAACACACCATCAACCACACACACCGTTAAACACACCATCAGCCACACACACCGTTAAACACACCATCAACCACACACACCGTTAAACACACCATCAGCCACACACACCGTTAAACACACCATCAGCCACACACACCGTTAAACACACCATCAGCCACACACACCGTTAAACACACCATCAACCACACACACCGTTAAACACACCATCAGCCACACACACCGTTAAACACACCATCAGCCACACACACCGTTAAACACACCATCAGCCACACACACCGTTAAACACACCATCAACCACACACACCGTTAAACACACCATCAGCCACACACACCGTTAAACACACCATCAGCCACACACACCGTTAAACACACCATCAGCCACACACACCGTTAAACACACCATCAACCACACACAACGTTAAACACACCATCCAACTCATTACGACAAACACCTACGCAAAGACACCAGGGCATCGCTAGACAATGGCCTTCACCTTTAAAGTTTTTAAGTTCACACAAAAGTCACCATTATGACTTCTGCGGTCGCACTTTAGTTTAAAGTCAAGTCATACATCAGCTTACAGTCAAGTCACACATCAGCTTACAGTCAAGTCACACATCAGCTTACAGTCAAGTCACACATCAGCTTACAGTTACAGTCAAGTCACACATCAGCTTACAGTTACAGTCAAGTCACACATTTGCCCAGGGATCTTCTCACTGTCAAAAAGGTTTTAGCAAATCCTGGGCCCTGAATAAAAAATTGTGCCAGACTTTTATGGTGCCATCAATTTTTCTGCCGCCAGATTCGGAAATTCCCTTTGGGCTACCAGGAACTTAAAGACTGTTGATAAACTTTTCTTAGATTGCCCAGCGGCACCTTGACGCGATGGTGCGCGCTCGTTTTCTTCAGCACTCAATTTTCTAATGGTGAGCAGATAAAGATGCTCAATTTTCTAATGGTGAGCAGATAAAGATGCTCAATTTTCTAATGGTGAGCAGATAAAGATGCTCAATTTTCTAATGGTGAGCAGATAAAGATGCTCAATTTTCTAATGGTGAGCAGATAAAGATGCTCAATTTTCTAATGGTGAGCAGATAAAGATGCTCAATTTTCTAATGGTGAGCAGATAAAGATGCTCAATTTTCTAATGGTGAGCAGATAAAGATGCTCAATTTTCTAATGGTGAGCAGATAAAGATGCTCAATTTTCTAATGGTGAGCAGATAAAGATGCTCAATTTTCTAATGGTGAGCAGATAAAGATGCTCAATTTTCTAATGGTGAGCAGATAAAGATGCTCAATTTTCTAATGGTGAGCAGATAAAGATGCTCAATTTTCTAATGGTGAGCAGATAAAGATGCTCAATTTTCTAATGGTGACCAGATGAAGATGCTCAATTTTCTAATGGTGAGCAGATAAAGATGCTCAATTTTCTAATGGTGACCAGATGAAGATGCTCAATTTTCTAATGGTGAGCAGATAAAGATGCTCAATTTTCTAATGTTGAGCAGATAAAGATGCTCAATTTTCTAATGGTGAGCAGATAAAGATGCTCAATTTTCTAATGGTGAGCAGATAAAGATGCTCAATTTTCTAATGGTGAGCAGATAAAGATGCTCAATTTTCTAATGGTGAGCAGATAAAGATGCTCAAATTTCTAATGGTGAGCAGATAAAGATGCTCAATTTTCTAATGGTGAGCAGATAAAGATGCTCAATTTTCTAATGGTGAGCAGATAAAGATGCTCAATTTTCTAATGGTGAGCAGATAAAGATGCTCAATTTTCTAATGGTGAGCAGATAAAGATGCTCAATTTTCTAATGTTGAGCAGATAAAGATGCTCAATTTTCTAATGGTGAGCAGATAAAGATGCTCAATTTTCTAATGGTGATCAGATAAAGATGCTCAATTTTCTAATGGTGACCGGATAAAGATGCTCAATTGGAAGTGAAAATGTGGGCACAGAATAATGTTAAAACTGAATTTAAAATGTTAATTTAAATAATGTTAAAACTGAATTTAAAATGTGGATTTAAATAATGTTAAAACTGAATTTAAAATGTTAATTTAAAAATGTTAAAACTGAATTAAAAATGTGGATTAAAAAAGGTTTTTTCCTGTGACTTTTTTCCATGCAATCATCTCATCGGGGTAACGTCTACCTTATAGTTGAGTTACCCAGTACATGACCTTCGACCTGTAGGGGTCACCTGATGACCTTTAGTCTCTGCTTTAGCACTAGGATGAGTTGTACACGCCCCAATGTTGTGTGAGAAATGTCGCTCAATTGATTTGACGCGTTTTCTAGCAGAAATATTCAGTGTAAGAGGGTCAGAGGTGTCAGCTACATCTGTCTGTTTGTCCTCTCTAGATCTGATCCTGGTTTGTCCTCTCTACATCTGATCCTGGTTTGTCCTCTCTAGATCTGATCCTGGTTTGTCCTCTCTAGATCTGATCCTGGTTTGTCCTCTCTAGATCTGATCCTGGTTTGTCCTCTCTCTCTGATCCTGGTTTGTCCTCTCTGATCCTGGTTTGTCCTCTCTAGATCTGATCCTGGTTTGTCCTCTCTCTCTCTGATCCTGGTTTGTCCTCTCTAGATCTGATCCTGGTTTGTCCTCTCTAGATCTGATCCTGGTTTGTCCTCTCTAGATCTGATCCTGGTTTGTCCTCTCTGATCCTGGTTTGTCCTCTCTGATCCTGGTTTGTCCTCTCTCTGATCCTGGTTTGTCCTCTCTAGATCTGATCCTGGTTTGTCCTCTCTAGATCTGATCCTGGTTTGTCCTCTCTGATCCTGGTTTGTCCTCTCTAGATCTGATCCTGGTTTGTCCTCTCTAGATCTGATCCTGGTTTGTCCTCTCTGATCCTGGTTTGTCCTCTCTAGATCTGATCCTGGTTTGTCCTCTCTAGATCTGATCCTGGTTTGTCCTCTCTAGATCTGATCCTGGTTTGTCCTCTCTAGATCTGATCCTGGTTTGTCCTCTCTAGATCTGATCCTGGTTTGTCCTCTCTAGATCTGATCCTGGTTTGTCCTCTCTAGATCTGATCCTGGTTTGTCCTCTCTAGATCTGATCCTGGTTTGTCCTCTCTAGATCTGATCCTGGTTTGTCCTCTCTGATCCTGGTTTGTCCTCTCTGATCCTGGTTTGTCCTCTCTCTGATCCTGGTTTGTCCTCTCTAGATCTGATCCTGGTTTGTCCTCTCTAGATCTGATCCTGGTTTGTCCTCTCTAGATCTGATCCTGGTTTGTCCTCTCTAGATCTGATCCTGGTTTGTCCTCTCTAGATCTGATCCTGGTTTGTCCTCTCTGATCCTGGTTTGTCCTCTCTAGATCTGATCCTGGTTTGTCCTCTCTAGATCTGATCCTGGTTTGTCCTCTCTAGATCTGATCCTGGTTTGTCCTCTCTAGATCTGATCCTGGTTTGTCCTCTCTGATCCTGGTTTGTCCTCTCTGATCCTGGTTTGTCCTCTCTCTGATCCTGGTTTGTCCTCTCTAGATCTGATCCTGGTTTGTCCTCTCTAGATCTGATCCTGGTTTGTCCTCTCTGATCCTGGTTTGTCCTCTCTAGATCTGATCCTGGTTTGTCCTCTCTAGATCTGATCCTGGTTTGTCCTCTCTGATCCTGGTTTGTCCTCTCTAGATCTGATCCTGGTTTGTCCTCTCTAGATCTGATCCTGGTTTGTCCTCTCTGATCCTGGTTAGTCCTCTCTAGATCTGATCCTGGTTTGTCCTCTCTCTCTCTGATCCTGGTTTGTCCTCTCTAGATCTGATCCTGGTTTGTCCTCTCTAGATCTGATCCTGGTTTGTCCTCTCTGATCCTGGTTTGTCTTCTCTAGATCTGATCCTGGTTTGTCCTCTCTGATCCTGGTTTGTCCTCTCTAGATCTGATCCTGGTTTGTCCTCTCTGATCCTGGTTTGTCCTCTCTAGATCTGATCCTGGTTTGTCCTCTCTGATCCTGGTTTGTCCTCTCTAGATCTGATCCTGGTTTGTTCTCTCTCTCTCTGATCCTGGTTTGTCCTCTCTAGATCTGATCCTGGTGCTCGCCAGTGTCGGCACCATCCTGGTGGGGACCAGACAGGAACAATTTCCCCAGGCCGTGCTCAGCGGACTCCGCTTCTTCCAGATCCTGCGCATGGTCCGGCTGGACAGGAAGGGCGGCACATGGAGGCTGTTGGGCTCAGTCGTGTGGGCCCACAGACAGGTAGGCTCGGGGGGGGGGGGGGGCATGTAGGCTCGGGGGGGGGGGCATGTAGGCTCGGGGGGGGGGCATGTAGGCTCGGGGGGGGGGGATGGGGAGAGGGCTCAGGGGGCAGACATGTGGGCTGGGGGGGGGGGGGGGGGTAGGGGGGGGGGCATGTAGGCTCGGGGGGGGGGGCATGTAGGCTCGGGGGGGGGGACACAGACAGATGGGCTGGGGGGCGGACAGGTAGGCTCGGCGTGGGAGCTGGTGACCCATGTTTCCCTCTGTCCCCAGGAGCTGGTGACCCATGTTTCCCTCTGTCCCCTGGAGCTGGTGACCCATGTTTCCCTCTGTCCCCAGGAGCTGGTGACCACCCTGTATATCGGCCTGCTGGGACTTGTCTTCTCATCTTTCTTTGTCTACCTGGCCGAGAAGGACGAGCCTCGACTGGACACGGGTCAGAAGACACAGGTCAATGTCACGGGGTCCAAACCCAAGTTCAACAACTTTGCTGACGCCATTTGGTGGGGCGTGGTGAGTCTCTTTCGTCAGCACTCTCTCCCTCACTCTCTCGTCTTCACTCTCTCCCCCTCTCTCTCACCCTCTCTCTCTCACACTCTCTCTTTCTCCCCCTCTCTCTCACACTCTCTCTCATCCTCTCTCTTTCTCACCCTCTCTCACACTCTCTGTCTCTCACTCTCTCTCTCTCTCTCACACTCCCTCCCTCTCTCGTCCTCAAATGAAGTGTGTACACTAACATCTGCCCCTCAGGTGACCTTGTGTACACTAACATCTGCCCCTGTCCCCAGGTGACCTTGTGTACACTAACATCTGCCCCTCAGGTGACCTTGTGTACACTAACATCTGCCCCTCAGGTGACCTTGTGTACACTAACATCTGCCCCTGTCCCCAGGTGACCTTGTGTACACTAACATCTGCCCCTCAGGTGACCTTGTGTACACTAACATCTGCCCCTCAGGTGACCTTGTGTACACTAACATCTGCCCCTCAGGTGACCTTGTGTACACTAACATATGCCCCTGTCCTCAAGTGACCTTGTGTACACTAACATCTGCCCCTCAGGTGACCTTGTGTACACTAACATCTGCCCCTGTCCCCAGGTGACCTTGTGTACACTAACATCTGCCCATCAGGTGACCTTGTGTACACTAACATCTGCCCCTGTCCCCAGGTGACCTTGTGTACACTAACATCTGCCCCTGTCCCCAGGTGACCTTGTGTACACTAACATCTGCCCATCAGGTGACCTTGTGTACACTAACATCTGCCCCTGTCCCCAGGTGACCTTGTGTACAGTAACATCTGCCCCTGTCCCCAGGTGACCTTGTGTACACTAACATCTGCCCCTGTCCCCAAATGACCTTGTGTACACTAACATCTGCCCCTGTCCCCAGGTGACCTTGTGTACACTAACATCTGCCCCTGTCCCCAGGTGACCTTGTGTACACTAACATCTGCCCATCAGGTGACCTTGTGTACACTAACATCTGCCCCTGTCCCCAGGTGACCTTGTGTACACTAACATCTGCCCCTGTCCCCAGGTGACCTTGTGTACACTAACATCTGCCCCTGTCCCCAGGTGACCTTGTGTACACTAACATCTGCCCCTGTCCCCAGGTGACCTTGTGTACTGTCGGCTACGGTGACGTGGTGCCCGCCTCCTGGGGAGGGAAGCTCATCGCCTCGTTCTCGGCCATCCTCGGGATCTCGTTCTTCGCCCTCCCGGCGGTAAGTCAGGTCAAAGGTCACACGTTTCTCATAACTAGCCTATGTCGTCTGTAATGATTACTCACGAATGTCGTCTGCTGTTTGCAGGGGATCCTGGGCTCAGGGTTTGCCCTGAAGGTGCAGCAGCAGCAGCGGCAGAAACACCTCAACAGACGGAGGGTGCCGGCAGCCACACTCATCCAGTCCTTGTGGCGCTGCTACGCCGCTGATGAGCACTCCGTCTCTGTGGCCACGTGGAGGCCACACCTCATCCCCTGCCCCAGCCCCACCTCGTAAGTCACACCCCCACACCTCATCCCCTGCCCCAGCCCCACCTCGTAAGTCACACCCCCACACCTCATCCCCTGCCCCAGCCCCACCTCGTAAGTCACACCCCCACACCTCATCCCCTGCCCCAGCCCCACCTCGTAAGTCACACCCCCACACCTCATCCCCTGCCCTAGCCTAGTTCCACAGATCCACACCTCCACCCCACACTTCATCCCCTGCCCCAGCCCCACCTCGTAAGTCACACCCCCACACCTCATCACCACCTCCACCCACAATTCCACCCCACACCTCATCCCGTGCCCCAGCCCCACCTTGTAAGTCACACCACTCTACACCTACACCCCACACGTCGACCCCACACCTCCAACCCCCACAAAATCACATGACATACTAGCCTACCCATCGCCCACACACGTCTTTGTCACCTACACATCTACCTCAACGGTCACCTCGACCCTGACCTTGATACCCACACATCTACCTCAACGGTCACCTCGACCCTGACCTTGATACCTCCTCCCCCAGAGAGCGCGTGTGTAAGAACAACACGTCCTTCGTGAGCAGGTTCTCGACACGACGTCGGGACAGGAGCAGCACCCAGGCCCAGTCACCCATGACGACACGACACCACACCAGACGGACGGCCATCTCCACATCAGAGGAGGAGGTGCCAAACGTCTTGGACAGGTGAGCCACACATACCTGGACCATCGCCACACATACCTGTATCATCACCACCTGCACCATCGCCACCTGCACCATCGCCACCTGCACCATCGCCACACACCTGCACCATCGCCACACACACCTGCACCATCGCCACACACACCTGCACCATCGCCACACACACCTGCACCATCGCCACACACACCTGCACCATCGCCACACACACCTGCACCATCGCCACACACACCTGCATCATCGCCACCTGCACCATCGCCACACACACCTGCACCATCGCCACACACACCTGCACCATCGCCACACACACCTGCACCATCGCCACACACACCTGCACCATCGCCACACACACCTGCACCATCGCCACACACACCTGCACCATTGCCACACACACCTGCACCATCGCCACACACACCTGCACCATCGCCACACACACCTGCACCATCGCCACACACACCTGCACCATCGCCACACACACCTGCACCATCGCCACACACACCTGCACCATCGCCACACACACCTGCACCATCGCAACCTGCACCATCGCCAACTCACCTGCACCATCGCCACACACACCTGCACCATCGCCACACACACCTGCACCATCGCAACCTGCACCATCGCCACACACACCTGCACCATCGCCACACACACCTGCACCATCGCCACACACACCTGCACCATCGCCACACACACCTGCACCATCGCCACCTGCACCATCGCCACACACACCTGCACCATCGCCACACACACCTGCACCATCGCCACACACACCTGCACCATCGCCACACACACCTGCACCATCGCCACACACACCTGCACCATCGCAACCTGCACCATCGCCACACACACCTGCACCATCGCCACACACACCTGCACCATCGCCACACACACCTGCATCATCGCCACACACACCTGCACCATCGCTACACACACCTGCATCATCGCCACACACACCTGCACCATCGCCACACACACCTGCACCATCG